AAATGCCACGAGATTTATCGAACGATCTTTAGTGTTTATTTACTTTGAGAATTACTTCAATTTTTTACAACATTAGGATGATTACTATTATTGTTACAAATATGAAAAAAAAGTACATTTTTTAATTAGCATATCATGTAATTACTATAAAAATGGCGATAACTCCTAAAATATTAAGTTTAGGGAAAAATTATGAGACTGGAATTGTAGCTAAGAAAATTTCCTACACACAATGTTTTTATTTGATAGGCTTGTTTTTATTATTTTAGGAGATATATTCATTTTTATAGTGCCTAGTAATGAAAAGCTAATAATTATTATTTAGGAACTATACAAAAAGTAATAACTCCTAAAATATTGATTTTACGAAAAAATTCTAAGAGACTAAAATTGTAGCTTATGAAATTTCCCGCAAAAAACATTGCCACGCTATAGAGTTATTTTCAATATTTTAGGAGATATCGTCCCGTAAGTATAGTGATAACAAAATCAAAAACGATAAATCATTATTTTATTAATGTAGAATCAATGATAACTTCTAAGATATTGATTTTCGGAAAAATTCGTAAGGAAAAAAAATTGTAGCTTCAGAAATTTCATATTAAAAAATGTCTTCAAACTATAAGGCTATCTTGGATATTTTAGGAAATATAGGAATTTTAACAAGGACTAGATAAAGAAAAATAAAAAATTGTGATTGAGGTAGTATAAAAGTAGTCATGACTCCTAAAATAATGAATTTAGGAAAAAATTATATAAGACCAAATTCGTAGCTTAGAAAATTTTCTAGGGCAAATATACTCATACTATAAGGTTATCTTCAATATTTTAGGAGATATAGAAACTTAACTAGTGATAACACAAATAGTCACTATAAAAATGACGATAACTTCTAAAATATTCATTTTTTGAGAAAAATTATAAGAAATTAAATTTATAGCTTGGGAAATTTCCTATAAAAAATATTTGTATGCCATAAGGTTACCTTCAGTATTTTAGGAGTTATCGCTTAAATATTGTTAAAACTACAAAAAATAACGCTATATTGTGAATCTTTGAAAATTTCATTTATAAATATAAATAAATTTCTTACAACCCTTGATTTTACAAAAAAGCAAGAGTTATCCTCCAGGACAGAACAGCTCGTTGTTGTAGAAGAGGTTGTACATATTAAATTGCTCGATTTCTGCCGGATCGCAAATGTCCTGAAACAAAACCACAAATATAACCATGATCGTAATTTACGGGGAAGAAAGGATAAAAGTAGTGTGAGGATTAATTTTTTGAGAACTTATACTTACTGTGAAACTTCCTATATAACAACTTATACTCAAAGGCTTTGTTTGACTCGGCATAACAAATATTAGACAATTTAACGTACTTCTGGGCAAATCGGTGTCATATATAACAAGAATTGTGTATCTTGTTTTAGTCTCTGCAATTTGGACTCTTGCGCACCTGACATAAAAATCACCTCTGATTTTCGCTCCTCTGGTTCTTTCTTCTGCGACTAATTTTTCCCAGCCGTCTTCTACGAATTTAACCACATCTGGGTCTTTTCTACTCAATTTTAGTTCAAATAAATCTCTTATTTCTTCACCACTAGAATTATTTGTTGAAAAAGACAAAGACAGGCTTGATATTAGAATTACCGATATTAAAAATAATTTAAACATTTTTATTTTATTGTTTATTGCTGGTGATTTCAATTGAATGAAATCGAATAACTGAAAGTTGATCGAAAAATTAAAATAATTCATAAATATAAATTTATCTTTTAGATAAGTCTAAATTCGATTATTGGTTCATTTTTTTTCTTTATCTTTAAATAGATTATTATTAAAATACATCGTAGAAACATTCAAGTGCCACGAGATTTATCTAATAAATTTCTTCAATTTTCATAACATTACGATGATTATTATTATTGTTACAAATAAGAAAAAATTAAATTTTTTAATTAGCAACTAGTGTAATTACTATCTCAACAAAAACAGTTTCACTGTAAATAATAGTTCATAAAAAACTAAAAAACATGCTTTATATAAAAAACCAAACTCAAAAATAGAAAATAAATTTTAATAAATTTGAATTAAGAATGGTGTAAAAAATTTTAATAAATATAAATCAATAGACGGATAGATAATAAATTTTATTTGATTCTGGAGTTCTAAGCTCCTCCAGGACCATCAACAATACATAAAGATAATAGTTTACAAGTATATATACATTTGATACAGTGTTCGCAATAAAATTTTAAAGATTGACACTAATTAATAACTAACATGTTAAACTGTAAGATAAATGGCAATTACATTGATTGTAAGAAGAAGTTAAAACAAGCTTGTTTAAAATTTTCGAAGTTGTCAATTACTATTATATCAGCCGGTAATGAATTTCAAATTTTTATGCCATGAATCAAAAAAGAATTTTCATAGATAGCAGAATTACTTCTTGGTAAACGCAGATAGTCATTCCTGACATCGCATCTCCTTATTGCAATCGGCAGAAATTCTAATTTTGATCTAAATAAATGATTATAATTTAGTTTGATTTCTTTATAAAATAAACAAGTTATAAAATAATCTCTTCTCGCATTAAGTTTTAACCAGCCTAATTCTTTATAATATAAAGTACACGGAAAGAAAATTATGGGAACTATTCCTATACCATTATGGGAATGGTTCCCTATATAGTACAGCTGTTTTTTCGGCAACTAATTTTGAACGACTTATGCTTTTTTTTTTTTTTTTTTTTAATATTTTATAATTAAATGAGCATTATGAGTCGTGCACTTTTGGATTTTCCAAACTTTTTTTTATATATATTATATATATGTATATATATGAAAAATATATCAAAATACATGTGGGTATTCAAATGAAAGCTCTTGATGAGTGTAACATTGGGATGAGCTTATATCTTCAAAAATGTCAATGGTTTACCAGATACAAGGTCATTTCTTCATTATGTATCTAGACACAGAGCATTTTCGAATGCAGCTTCAATTCTCATTATAATAAATTGATTATTGGTGAGAATGATATGAAACTTTGAAGAGGCTCAACTCCAAGTAAAAACCCATTTTATTATATAAATTCACCGGCCACAAAATTTTTCTTATTCTCTTAAATAATATAGATTATTATTATTGTTGTTTTAACAATTATTGCATACTAAATGAAAATTATGTTGCTGTCACATGAAAATCAATTTTTTTTCCGTGTATATATTATAGAAATTATTTCGAACTCACTCCGCACGAAAATTTTATCTTTATTTTATTTTGAGAACGATTCCCATAATGGTATAGGAATGATTCCTATAATATTCTAGGAATCGTTCCTATACCATTATGGAAATAGTTCCTACAATGATATAGGAACCATTACTATATCATTATGGGAATATTTCCCATAATATTATGGGAATGGTTCCAATAATTGTATAGGAATTATTTCTATAATTATAGGAACCATTCCTATGTCATTATGGGAACCATTCCCATCGTTATGGGAAATGTTCCCATAATTCTGGGAAAATTTCCTATAATTATGGCAACAGTTCCTATAATTCATGGGAACAGTTCCTATAATTTCCTGGGAACTGTTCCCATAAAATTATGGGAATAGTTCCCATATTTTTCTTTCCGTGTAGTGTGCTCAAATCCGAAATTAAAAAAAAATATCTAATACAAGAATTTATTTTACGCTGCAATCTTTGCTGTAATTTGCCTGAGATATTTGTATAAGCGGCACAGCAGCAGTCGGAGATGGGAAAAATCAAGGTCGTGACCAATTTTATGCGTAATTGTTAATTGAAAATTTCGTTGTTGATTTTTAACTACGCTAACGTTTTCATCGCACGATTGCATACACTTACTACTTGATTCTCCCACGTTAGAGTATTATCAAT